AACAAACTTGGTAGCCCTTGATCCTATTATGCTACTGGCCAAATATCATCACCCTGTGCACTTTGGTTATTCACAAGAAGTTGTTTAATGTTTTCCACATATTTGACCCCTGTCACCTTGAATATAGGTGAAGGTCATTCATTTGAACAAACTTTGTAGCCCTTCATCTCAACATGCTACTGGCCAAATATCATCACCCTGGGCATTTTGGTTATTCAGAAGAAGTTGTTTCAAGGTTTTTTAAGACAATTGACCCCTGTGACCTTGAATATAATTAAAGGTCATTTATTTGAACAAACTTGGTAGCCCTTCACCCAAGCATGCAACTGGCCAAATATCATCTCCCTGGGCAGTTTGGTTATCGATAAGAAGATGTTTTAAAGTTTTTAACATATTTGACCCTGTGACCTTGACAATGGGTGAAAGTCATTAATTTTAACAAACTTTGTAGCCCTTCATCCCAGTTTGCTTCTGGCCAAATATCGACACCCTAGGCCTTTCGGTTATTAAGAAAAAGTCGTTTAAAGTAAAATATTGACGACGGACGACGCGCCACGGCATAAGCTCACTTGGCACTTCGTGCCAGGTGAGCTAATAATACAGAATAAGAGAAGTGACTGTTATTTAAATTAAAAAAATCAAATTTTTGCGGAAAATAATTTGCTTTTTTAAATACCTTTTAATTTCAAGTCTGCCTGCAGTAAGTAGGGGCATTATGAGTCATAGTGTGGAGGTATTTATTCAGGTAATGTAACTGATCAGCTAGCTCTCCCATAATGAAAAAGCCAGCATACTTTGTCTAGTACATATTTTTCACAATCAGTCCAATCTTTCCTGCCCAGTGTTGCATGAATGTCATCCAGATCAATATTCAAACCTGGCATAATTCTGAAAGGCATGCAACTCTGGTAGGTGTCACAATGATAATGTATATATAACACAGTAAAGTTGCCTCATTGATCAGGTATAAAAACACAGGGACAGGTGTCTCACTGATAATGAAAAATAATGCAAGGAGGTGTGTCTCATTGACTGAATATAATACAGGAACAGGTGTCTCATCGAGTGTGTATAGTAACACAGGGACAGGTGTCATTTTGATAGTTTAAAATAACACAGGGAGGAGATGTCTCATCAATAGTATAAACTGACACAGGGACAGGTGTCTCCTTTACTGTATTTTAATAACACAGAGACAGGTCTTTCATTGACTGTGTATAAAACACAGGGACATGTGTCTCATTGACTGTGTATAATAACACAGGGACAGGTGTCTCATTGACTGTGTATAAAACACAGGGACATGTGTCTCATTGACAGGGTATAGTAACACAGGGACAGGTGTCTCATCGACTGTAAAATAACACAGGGACAGGTGTCTTATTGATTGAGTATAAAAATACAGGGACCTGTATCTCATTGATTGTGTTTAAAACACAGGGACATGTATCTCATTGACTGAGTATAGTAACACAGGGACAGGTGTCTCATTGACTGTAAAATAACGCATAAGGACAAGTGTTTCATTGACTGGGTATAGTAACACATAGACAGGTGTCTCATTGACTGTGTATAATAAGACAGGGACATGTGTCTCATTGATTGTAAAATAGTAACACATAGACAGGTGTCTCATTGACTGTGTATAATAAGACAGGGACATGTGTCTCATTGATTGGATATAGTTACACAGGAACAGGTGTCTCATTGACTGTAAAATAATGCATAAGGACAAGTGTTTCATTGACTGGATATAGTAACACATGGACAGGTGTCTCATTGATTGTGTATAAAACACAGGGACATGTATCTCATTGATTGGGTATAGTTACACAGGGACAGGTGTCTCATTGACTGTAAAATAACACATAGGACAAGTGTTTCATTGACTGTGTATAGTAACACCGAGACATATGTCTCATCGACTGTAAAATTACACAGGAACAGGTGTCTCATTGACTGTGTAAGCTAACACAAGGACAGGTGTCTCATAGACCGTGTATAATAACACAGAGACAGGTCTCTCATTGACTGCATAAAACACAGGGACAGGTGTCTCATTGACTGTGTATAATAACACAGGGACAGGTGTCTCATTGATTGTGTATAAAACACAGGGACATGTATCTCATTGACAGGGTATAGTAACACAGGGACAGGTGTCTCTTTGACTGTAAAATAACACAGGGACAAGTGTTTCATTGACTGTATAATAACACAGGGACATGTGTCTCATTGATAGTGTGCAATTACTTAAGTAGAGGTGTCTCATTGAAAAGGTATAGTAACACAGGGAGAGGTGTCTCATTGACTGGGTATAGAAATGCAGGGAGTGGTGTGTCATTGACTGGGTATAGAAACACAGGCTGTAAAATAACACAGAGAGTGGTGTTTCACTGAATGTTAAATAACACAGGGAGTGGTGTGTTATTGACTGTAAAATATCACAGGGAGTGGTGTATCATTGACTGTAAAATAACACTGGGATTGGTGTCTCATTGATTGTAAAATATCACAGGGAGTGGTGTCTCATTGACTGTAAAATATCGCAGGGATTGGTGTCTCATTGACTGTAAAATAACACAGGGAGTGGTGTCTCATTGATTGTAAAATAACACAAGGAGAAAGGTTTCATTGACTGGGTATAGAAACGCAGGGAGTGGTGTGTCATTGACTGGGTATAGAAACACAGGCTGTAAAATAACACAAGAGTGGTGTTTCACTGAAAGTTAAATAACACAGGGAGTGGTGTCTCATTGACTGTAAAATAACACTGGGAGAGGTGTCTCATTGACTGTAAAATAAGACAATATGTGTTTCATTGCCTATAAAATAACAAAAGGAGAGGTGTCTCATTGACTGTAAAATAACACTTGGAGAGGTGTCTCATTGACTGTAAAATAAGACAAGATGTGTTTCATTGCCTATAAAATAACAAAAGGAGAAGTGTCTCATTGATTGTGTATATAACACAGGGACAGATGTCTCATTGATTGTGAAATATCACAGGGAGTGGTGTCTCATTGACTGTAAAATAAGACAAGATATGTTTCAATGCCTATAACATAACACAAGGAGAAGTGTCTCATTGATTGTGTATATAACACAGGGACAGATGTCTCATTGATTGTGTGTATAATTGTAATAACACATGGACAGGTGTCTCACTGATTGTGTATAATATTAATAACACAAGGAGAGGTGTCCCACTGATGTGTATAATAACACAAGGAGAGGTGTATCATTGAATTCTTGAGTAGTAACACATGGACAGGTGTCTCACTGATTGTGTATAATAACACATGGACAGGTGTCTCACTGATTGTGTATAATAACACAAGGAGAGGTGTATCATTGATTTTGTGTGTAGTAACATAAGGCCAGGTGTCTCACTTATTGTGTATAATAACACAAGGAGAGGTGTCTCACTGATTGTGTATAATAACACAAGCAGAGGTGTCTCACCGATAGTGTATACTAACACAAGCAGAGGTGTATCATTGATTTCGTATGTAGTAACAGAGGGTGAAGTGTTTCTGATTCAATGGCATACAATGGTATATATGAATACAGGAAAATGTGTCTCATTGAAGGTTTTCAGATAATTAATATCATGAGAATATTAATTTTGTATTAACTCAATTTTCCTGCTTACAAACAAAGCTATTTCTTTGTATTTGTTGTAGTAATAGTTCTACTTATTTCTGAATATGTTTAATTCCAAGGGTTAATTGGTCCTTAACTGATCTCATTGTTTGGGAAGTAAAGTGAAGAAAGAATTTGTAAATGAAACCCAAACTTGTACTTATCCTTGGTGTAAATTACAAATTCTTTTGATTTTGTTCATAATTCTGCTGGTAGGTTGGCAAATAAAGGTGTTGGCATGTATATACTGACTAGGGATGCTAAACATTAAAACACACTTGGCATGACCTTCGGTACAAGCCACTGAAGTGGTAGCTCGAGTCCATCACAACATATTCTTGTTAAACAGGAAACATGAACATATTTCTACACTAGACCCAAGGCTACAAGTTCACACACATACTGCTTAACAACTGAGTCTGAAGAAGATTTCAGGAACATGAGTAGCCAATGTGACCCCAGTAAAATATTACCTTGAACCCCTGTTTTTATCTAGTGACCGGTTCACATTTATGGGCTACAGTATATACCTTCTAAATACATGTAGATCTACAATGTTCTATCACTTTGGGTGTGCACAAGTTCTAGAGATTTCCTGATAACAAGGTTGGATTTGTATTGCTCCTTGAAATAGATAATTTGTAACATAAGTGCTTGGTGAATTATAGGAAATTCTATGGTTGAATCATTGTATCTGTAGCCAAGTACATGCACTTATTAAACAAGTTTTAGTTGATTTTTTTATTTTTTTTTTCAATCCTGTGAATAAGGTTTATAATCAATAAATTAATAAATTGATAAGACACACACTATACGTGTAATTACAACATCTAAAACTGTCAAATGTGAAATCAACGATATAGGTAAATTCCTTGGATGGAGCATGGCATTGTTGTCGGGGGCCAACAAATGGGTATTTCAACGACTGTTCTCAAAACATTGTGGGATATGGCGGTACGCGAGTTTGGCGGTACAAGGGGTGCATTTAAGTGTGGGGAAATCGGTTTTGACAAAATTGATGGCGGTATGCGAGTTTGGCGGTACAACGGGTGGCGATACATCAAGGTTATACTGTATAAACATTTACGTAAGGTTACTAGTTTTATAAATACATGACTGTCTGACAGTGATATAGAACATGTAGAGCTCTACAGTGGCATATTTCATAGTTTGAATACATATAAACATGGAATCCTTTATTTGTGGATGGATAAATGTATATACAGATATTATATGCAAAAATAGCAGTTAAATGTCATGAGTGTTGACATGGAATGTCAATCCAAAAATAGTTTGATATATATATATAGCTCATAATAAAAATAATTGTACTGAAGTTGAAATCAATTACTTACCTGAAGCTGTCTATGGTCATATCTGATGGAAAGTTATTGAGGAATGAGGACAGACCCTTTCGTCTCATGAAGTCCACAAATAGGAGATGATGGGACAGACGTTTGAGGAGGCCTCCCCCTGTCTGTGCATCCATGTTGGCCGGAGAACTGGCACGACGATCTGGTGCAGAGGGGCGGAGACTTCGGTCCATGGAGGTGACTATTCGCAGCTGTTTATTTAGAGGGACAGTAAAACTTGCTACCTCTAAGTCTTGCATGTCATCGCTGAGGTCAATGCTTTCTCTCAGCCGTGGACCATCACTGTTGTCATCACTAAAATCATCAATTCTACTTCTACCTTCAAAGCTCCGGAAGCTTGCAGTCGTACTGCAAGGGGAAAACCCGGAAGAAGACAGAGACATGTCCTCCAATTCATCATTAATGCTTTCCCGATGGACAAGATTGGACTTGGGCGACTTTTCTACAGTAGCTGAATTAAGCTCTGAAGTACTGGTACTTTCTGAAATGCTGAAACAAACGGATGTTGTAACAGAAGTTTCATTAACAGTTTGCAGTGAAACACCTGACCGGCAAGTGAGCATTGGACTGTCAGTTGGTTGCTCAAGACTGAAAGTGTCAGAATTCAGCTCCAAGCTTGGAAGGTTTTCCTCTTCATCAGTCTTCTGTGATTCATTGCTCCCTAGTCTAAATATAGGCCGGAAGAGTTTCTGTGCAGTAGACTTCTCACTACTGTCCTCCACACTATCAACATGACCTACATCTTTGAAATCAAGATTTACATCTTTTAAACAGACTGTAGCTGTACCTGTTTCATCAGCAACAGATGGTATGGAAGTGTTTACACTATCCACTTTGACAGTGTTTTCCACACTCTTAGGCACAGTAGAACTTCGACTAGATTCTAATTGGTCTTTTGAGACAGTATCAGCTGTGTCTTTCACAGTTTTTGCATTCTTTGCCTGAACAGGTTTTGGTCGCACCACTTTGTTATCCTTAGGCGTTCGAGAGGTTTGGCCCCGAGAAGTACTAGATTGTCTGGCTGGTGATCGAGAACTAGTTACAGAACGATCGGCTTCCTTGCCTTCAGCCTTTGATTTTGTCCTAAGTTTCCTTGTCTTATCTGTTTTCTCAACTTTCTCTACCTTCTCCACTTTTTCAGCAGACAATGTTTTATCCACTTTTTCTTCTGCAGATGCAGATTTAGTGGTAACCCCCGTCTTTCTCCCTATACTACTTTGAGGTTTGGTGGGTTTCGGCGAGGGAACTTTTTTTCCACGTACCTCCATTGAGAATTTAGATGATAATGATTTTCTAGATGAAGCCATTTTTGCTACAAATTTCCAATCTGGGGATGTCTGATGGATTAATAACTATATTACCAACTCCTCTCTCATTTTGTTGCTAGATATGCCAAAGTCGTGCATTTGGCTATACTCTGTCCTTTCCATTTCTATTGTTGTCAATTCCCTCTTGTGGCAGACACAAGTTTCCTTGGCAGACACATATAACATACACGTGTATACATTTTGATCTGTGTCTAGATGTTGATTTTTATTCATTATAATAAAATATTGTTATATAAGTAATGCCGTTTGTCAATAAAATAGTAAAATTCTCAAATGTTTACTTTTACACACAGAACATGCATGTAAACAGACGTCACATGTAAACACGGGATTACAATACACTATCGCAATACACATGAGTCGCACACTAACCCGCACTGATGACTCTCTATAGTAAATACGACGGCCCAAAAATAGTTAGGGCTTCTCCTTACCATTCATCATACTTTTACAATCAATTTTCCTTTGATGAATAGACGTGTCCCTGTTTAACTATAGAAACACATAATGAGTCAGTCTTGCCGACAAAAAACACAATCGACCTCCACTGTCGTACTGTGATAACGGCCATCCTCGACACGATCTCATCTAACTGCGTCGTAGCTTTTAAGTGTTAAAAAAACACAGATACCTCGATTACAATCTCCAACATGTATCCCTCATCGAGGTTTGTAAATATGTCGTCAAAATCCTCTTGACGTTGATAGGAAGTACACTAAACTCCATCCATCACTAGCCAGACAGGTCGATCCCGTCCATTCGGTAGGATTGTGGGTATAATTACATCAGGTCATTTCCGGGTCAAGGTTGACGACGGAACCTAAACCGCGGGAATATTTAAGAAAAGATTTTCGTAACAGCCTGTTAGTTAACTAGTTTTTCAACAACAAAAAAACAACAACAAATGTTCAACCCAAATGATATATTTTTCCTTGCCGAGCTGACCAAACTAAATGGATTTTTACCTTAAATGTTCATGCTAGGCTTTTATGACTTACGACTTTACGAATTGCGTGTTAGTTTTCGAGCTCGGTGCTCGGAGCGAATTCTGCAGCTAGGATGGCAAGAATCTACCTAAATTCAAGTTATATTCTGCTCGCGTTTTTCATAGATGTAAGGAAAATGTAGCAATAAATCGTCTGTATTGTATCATGTAATACATATCAAAGACAGCATTTTATCGATTATTATTTCCCTCATTTCCTGCAGATACTATGTGACTTGTCTTCCCAAATTACCACAGAAAAACTCGGTTTTGCTACAAAAATATCCAAGTTAATACAATGTTCATGCATCTGTGTTTCTCAATTCAATGAATAGCTAGTTCATATGTTCTCTAAAACTGAGCTCTCATTTACTGCCTGAATAAAACAATATGAATCTGATTTTGTGAGAAATCTTTCAAAAGCAGTGACAATTCGTTTTGTATTGTAATGCATTAAGATAATACTTCATAAAATTCAGTTTGATTTGGCAGTCATGTGGTATATTAAGGGATGCATGTATACTTCTGGTGTAAAAGCGATTCAGAAGCAAACCAACTTCATCAAAATAAAAATAAAGCATTGGTATGTATTTTGAGGAAAATGGCTGAAATTTCACATTCTTTAAGAAAGGGATAACATTATATGCTGACTTACCTCAGGTGCAGGTGCGTAACATTACCTATGAAGCAAAAAAGCCCGGGCTTACACATCATTTTTTACAAAAACAAAAAACAAAAAAACGCAACATATAGACTAGATGATATAAAATATCAAAAACCAATGACAGGAGTTTTGTATCATGTAGAACTGAGGGTAGCATATTCATTCGGCATGGTATCGTCGCTAACGGAACTTTTCTATGATTTGTATCTCCTTTATTGATACAAAATATGTATGAAGGGAAGGAATGTTCATGAAACCATGGCTATATATTTTACATTGATCAGTATGTTCTGATGTACATAATGTTAAACTATTCCTAGTGCTAGCTTGTGATAATAATCTCATATCCCTTCGCAACCGGAGTCACAGTCACGAGGAGAAACGTCTTAAGAAGAGAAAAACTCTTACAACAACCATCCCAAAATGCACATTTCTTTTCCGTGGAAGAATGATACAAAACTCCATTACAGAATTTGCATAGATGAGTTAATAAACCAATCCCTAGTACCCCAAAATAAGCAAAATATTTATAAGATAACAGGGGGAAATGATATTTTCTTCCTTTAAAAGGGCCGTTGAAACCGACGCCAGAACACGGGAGAACGTGTCTTGGGCGTTCCAGAAAACAAAATTCTCCTGGGGGAGACCCCTCCCATAACCCTACCCCTCCTGCGCGCTTCGGGGTGCTGCCAAAGCACATTTGATCATTGGGCTTACACATTGAAAACCTGTTTGTTTACGCCCCTCTCAAGTGTTAGACATGCAGTCTGGAAAGGCATGCCAGTTGTTTTTTACATATTGTTTTGTGCATTTCTCAGATTTTCAGTGTATACAGGATTACACCATGAAAAACTAAAATCGTAGCTGTTTTAAGGTGCCAATCCATGTAGTTGTAAGATCACCAATGGTTTCCAGTTTCCAAACTACTCAAAATATCCAGCAGCTTTGCATAAGTGCTATACGGAACATGTGCCATTGCTAAATTGGAACGGGTCAATCCATAGCAATAGTGTAAGTTTGAGTGTTATCCGTCGACAGGATCTTAAGGTAACAAGCTCAACAAATGTTCTTTTAATAGTAACAGTGACCTTAAACTATGACCTTTGGACCTCAACAGCAATCTCGAGCAATAACTTTTGGTAAGAAAGCAGTGTATCAAGCATGAGTTTAACTGTAGGCCAAAATTAACAAGAGGCCCTGAGGGCCTGTATTGATCACCTGAAAATGTTAGCAAAATTAAAGTTGAAATAGTCCGATGTTGCTGTACATGTATTACATGGTTAGTCAGGGGTTATGTTGATATGAAATTGGACAAAATCCTGTCATTCCTACAAGAAAAGGAGAAATTTGAAGAATTTGCTATGTTTCCACTATTGGAGCTGGCCCCTCTGCCCAAGAAGGATTAGATTAGACCCACTGTTGATACAAAATTTAGCTCTCCTTTACCCAAGGATGCTTTACACCAAATATGGACTTAATCCTATAATCCTGTCATTCCTACAGAAGGAGAAGGATTTTAAATCTATTTTTCTATTTTCCCTATTGGGCCCCACCCCTCAGGCCCCAGGGGGGTCAGACCCACCATTTATACAAAATTGATTTCCCTTCCCAACAGGATGCTACTGTTCAAAATTAATTTGGTCAAAAGTTATTCCTCTATATCCCTTATTGGTCCCCACCTCCCTGCCAAAAGGAGGGGTCAGACCCACCATTTATACAAAATTGGTTCCCCTTCCCCTAAGAATGCCTCTGACCAAATTTGGTCAAAATCTGCTAAGTTGTTTATGACTAGTAGCGATTTTTAGGAAAAGTTGTCGGACGTCGGACGCCAGATGCCGGATGCCATGGCATAAGCTCACTAACCCACCGTTTATACAAAATTGAGTCCCTTTGGCCCAAGGATGCTCCAGACTAAATAGTGTCAAAATCAACTTGGCCATTCAAGACTAGTAGCATTTTATAGGAAAAGTTGACGGACGGATGACGGATGTTGCGGTATGGCATAATTATATAAGCTCACCATGGTCCTTCCGACCAGTTGAGCTAAAAAGGAAATTCATTATTGTGCAAAACTAATTTTTTATTTCGAGTGCCGACCTTAACGTTTGATCTTCAGATCTGAAAAGTGATCAAAACAAGCACTTTCTGTAAGGTAGCAGTGTATGGAGTTAGGAGTGTTATCAAGGCCAACAGAAACTGGGCTTCTATTGCTAAAGTAAATTTTCAATGAAGGTCACCCATGTACCACTGCAGGCAAAACACTAGATAATTCCACAGAGGTTTATCACATATACAGTAACCTCCCTTTTATTATGGCATTTTCATTGATCAGTTGGTGAGTGAGACAGTTAACGATCTGGTTGAGAGTTTGAATCTTGGTTTTGAGCTGCAGAATTTTTACAAAAAAAGACTGTTGTTGATTTAATTAAGTCCCCCAAGGTATGGTTTTCTTTTCAGAAATAAATTATGGATGAAATATTTATTCCAGAAAAAAGAGATTCAAATGTATTGCTAGAGTTTTTGTCAGTGGTACAGGGTGGTTTTGTCAGTGGTACGGGGTGGTTTTGTCAGTGGGACAGGGTGGTTTTGTCAGTGGTATGGGGTGGTTTTGTCAATGGTATGGGGTGGTATTGTCAATGGTACGGGGGGGTTTTGTCAGTGGTATGGGGTGGTATTGTCAATGGTATGGGGTGGTTTTGTCAGTGGTACAGGGTGGTTTTGTCAGTGGGATGGGGTGGTTTTGTCAGTGGTATGGGGTGGTATTGTCAATGGTATGGGGTGGTTTTGTCAGTGGTACAGGGTGGTTTTGTCAGTGGTATGGGGTGGTTTTGTCAGTGGTATGGGGTGGTATTGTCAATGGTACAGGGTGGTTTTGTCAGTGGTAGGGGGTGGTTTTGTCAGTGGTACGGGGAGGTTTTGTCAGTGGTATGGGGTGGTATTGTGAATGGTACAGGGTGGTTTTGTCAATGGTATGGGGGGGTATTGTCAATGGTACGGGGTAGTTTTGTCAGTGGAAGGGGGTGGTTTTGTCAGTGGTAGGGGGTGGGTTTGTCAGTGGTATGGGGTGGTTTTGTCAGTGGTATGGGGTGGTTTTGTCAATGGTATGGGGTGGTATTGTCAATGGTACAGGGTGGTTTTGTCAGTGGTACGGGGTGGTTTTGTCAGTGGTACGGGTGGTTTTGTCAGTGGTATGGGGTGGTATTGTCAATGGTACGGGGTAGTTTTGTCAGTGGTACAGGGTGGTTTTGTTAGTGGTAGGGGGTGGATTTGTCAGTGGTACGGGGAGGTTTTGTCAGTGGTACGGGGAGGTTTTATCAGTGGTATGGGGTGGTATTGTCAATGGTACGGGGTAGTTTTGTCAGTGGTAGGGGGTGGTTTTGTCAGTGGTACGGGGTGGTATTGTCAATGGTACGGGGTGGTTTTGTCAGTGGTAGAGGGTGGTTTTGTTAGTGGTAGGGGGTGGTTTTGTCAGTGGTACGGGGTGGTTTTGTCAGTGGGACAGGGTGGTTTTGTCAGTGGTACGGGGGGGTTTTGTCAGTGGTATGGGGTGGTATTGTCAGTGGTACAGGGAGGGTTTGTCAGTGGTAGGGGGAGGTTTTGTCAGTGGTACGGGGTGGTTTTGTCAATGGTACGGGGTGGTTTTGTCAGTGGTAGGGGGAGGTTTTGTCAGTGGTACGGGGTGGTTTTGTCAGTGGGACAGGGTGGTTTTGTCAGTGGTACGGGGGGGTTTTGTCAGTGGTATGGGGTGGTATTGTCAGTGGTACAGGGAGGGTTTGTCAGTGGTAGGGGGAGGTTTTGTCAGTGGTACGGGGTGGTTTTGTCAATGGTACGGGGTGGTTTTGTCAGTGGTATGGGGCGGTATTGTCAGTGGTACAGGGAGGTTTTGTCAGTGGTAGGGGGAGGTTTTGTCAGTGGTACGGGGGGGTTTTGTCAGTGGTATGGGGTGGTATTGTCAGTGGTACAGGGAGGTTTTGTCAGTGGTACGGGGTGGTTTTGTCAGTGGTGCGGGGTGGTTTTGTCAGTGGTACGGGGAGGTTTTGGCAGTGGTACGGGGTGGTTTTGTCAGTGGTATGGGGCGGTATTGTCAGTGGTACAGGGAGGTTTTGTCAGTGGTACGGGGTGGTTTTGTCAATGGTACGGGGTGGTTTTGTCAGTGGTAGGGGGTGGTTTTGTTAGTGGTAGGGGGTGGTTTTGTCAGTGGTACAGGGGGGTTTTGTCAGTGGTACGGGGTGGTTTTGTCAATGGTACGGGGTGGTTTTGTCAGTGGTACGGGGAGGTTTTGTCAGTGGTACGGGGTGGTTTTGTCTGGTTGGGTTTGGTGTGAACCAACATACATTTGAACACACTTAAAAGTTATCCATCCTAATAATTTAAATGTCAAACACAATGACTACAGATTTCATTGTGTAAAGAAGTGGTATGAATTTTTTCAAAACATTTAATCTTTGTGACCTTCAAAGAATGTTATGGTAATCACTTGCGTTAAAATCGATAGCTCTCCACCTCTGCAAGATATAGGCCAAATATCATGACTGTGTCTGACTGTGCCAATTGATTCAGAAGAAAATGTATATCAGAATAACTAACACATGTGACACATGTGACCATGGAAGCCGGGCAAGGTAATGTGTTCGAATAAACTTCATAACCTTTCACTCTAACAAGCTACAAAGAAAATGTCATCACTCTAGGTCTCATTGATACCACCACCTGTTTCATGTAAGATGCAAAGAAACAAAAACAAAAAAATTATGATTCATTTTTCTAAATTTTATTACCGGTATACAAGTTTATATTATTGTACATGCTAAGCAATCACTTGTTTGTCTCTTGTGTATTTACAGGGCCAGCGAACCATACCCAATTTGTTCCAAAGGTAAAATCCATTTGTATTTCTTCTTTATAAAATGGGAAACTTTTATGTTTTTTCGAATATTTCGTAACAAATGAGAACAACTTATTTCCATTTGCCCCATTAATTCCACTTGTATTTCACAGCCACTCAAACTCAAGGAATTGTGGTCCATAACATTCATGTATTCTCCAATGAAGCTAATCTGTCAAATTTTGCAAGTAAACATTGATTCATATTTAATAACAAGAGGCCCAAGGGCCTAAGCGGTCACCTGAGTTATATCATAGATACTGGTAGCTTTATTTTATTGTTTAGATGTGATGTGGAAATCAGCATGTAAACTAAGTGAAATACAATACTTGTCATGTCATCAATGGATAAGAATTTGAAAATATTGGTAAATGTTCCCTTTGGGGCCCCGCCCTAGCCCCTGGGGATGGGGCAGGAATCCTAATTTTACAAAGTAAAACTCTCATTTACCCAAGATGATTCTGACTAAGTTTGAGCAATTTTCTGCTGAAAATGGATAAAATATATACCGAAAAGTGTTATTTCCCTATATAAACTATAT